TTTATTTTGCTGTCTTTGTTTAATTATTTCTTGTCTTTCCTTAGTGCTGTTGCTTTTAAAATTTTCTTTCTACATCTGTTTTAGATTGCTGTCCCAATTTCCTAAGTTTTTTCCTTTATTTCCCCAATCCTATTGCTTTTTAAATGTTGTTTCTATGCCTACTTTTATTCCCTTCACTGTCTTTTAAAAATTATTTCTTGTCTTTTCTTAGCACTGTTGCTTTTTAGATTTCATTTCTATGTCTCCGTTTTAATTTGTCTTTGCTATTTTTCCTCATTTCCTTAAACTTTCTTTCTTTCTACCTTTATCCTGTTGGCTGTTTTAATTTCTTTACTATTTTTTGTCTTTCCTTAGTGCCCTCCTTTTTAAAATTTTCTTTCTATGTCTGCGTTTTCATTTGCTATCAATATTGTTTAATTCTTTCCTCTCTGAATCCCCTGGCTTTTAAAATGTTGCTTCTATGTATACTTTTTTCTAGTTTGCTGTCCCTAGATTTAATTCTTTCCTGTCTGTTCTGTGCCTCATTGCTTTAAAAATTATTCTTCTATGCCTGCTATGCTCCCTATCCCTATTTTTTGTTTCCTGCCTTTCACATACCCTGTCACTTAAAATATTTACTTTATATGTCTCTGTTTAGTTTGTTGTCTCTATGCTTTAGGTTTTTTTTCTTTACTTCTCTTAGCCTTCTCACTTTTAAAGTGTTCTAGGTCTGCTTTCATCCTGTTTGATGTCTTTAGTTTTGAATTATTTTTTGTCCTTCCTTAGTGCTGTTTTAAAATTTTTATGTCTACCTTCTAGTTGCTGTCCCTATTTTTTAATCTTTTAATCTCTTGGCTTTAAAAATTTTGTTTCTATGTCTACTTTAACGTATTTTGGTGTCCCTATTTTAAATTTTTTCCTGTCTGTCCTGTACCTCATAGCTTCTTAAAGTGTTCTTTCCATGACCACTTTTATGAACAGGCTTATGCTTAGTTTTTAATTTTTCTCTCTGTCATTTAACGTGTCACTTTTAAATTATCTTTCTGTGTCTGCTCTTATCCAGTTCACGGTCCTTATTTTTTATTATTTCTTGCATTTCCTTAGTGCCCTCGCTTTTTAAATTTTCTATGTTGTTTTAGTTCGCTCTGCCTATTTTTCATGCTTTTTCTCTTACTCCCTTTTGTTTCTACGTCTACTTTTATCAAGCTCCCTATCTCCATATTTTATTTCTTTCCTGTCTGTCATGTACCCTGTTGCTTTTAAAATGTACTTGCTATATCTCCATTTATTTAGTTTCTGTACCTATTTTTTAATTTTTTCCTTGCTTAGTCCCATGGCTTTTAAAGCTTTTTAATGGTTACTTTTATTTAGTTTTCTGTCTCTATTTTTCATTTTTTTTCCTTTCTTAATAGCCACCACTTAAAAAATTTACTTTCTATGTTTCTGTTTATTTAGTTGGCTGTCCTTATTTTTCAATTTTTTCCTTTATTTTCTTAATCCTTTTTTAAAATCCCTTTTCTATGTCTACTTTTATCCCATTTGCTGTCTTTATTTTTTAAGTGTTTCTTGTCTTAGTGCCGTCACTTTTAAGATTTTCTTTTTATGCCTACTTTTATCAAGCTCTCTATCCCTGTTTTTTTAATTCTTTCTTGTTTGTCACATACCCTGTTGCTTTTTAAGTTTTCTTAGTGTCTTTTTTTTTTCTCTTTTCTCTCCGTTCATCCTAAGTCTTTAGAGGATCTCCTCGGCATGCTTTTACCTCTGGAGTGTCTTTTGCACCCCTCTCATTTTGTCAGAACATCACCTCTTCCTCAGAGCAGTCTTTTTGTCCTCTCCTCCATCTCCCTTGACTTCAGGGGGTCAGCGTCTCCATCATGACATCTATACTCTGTTCAAATCTCCTCCCGAGTACCTTTGTGCCCTCGAGCCTTCTTCTGTGTCTCTGGCCACCGCAGCACCCCTCTATTTCTGTCACAATGCTTCCTGCGAGTGTCCTTGTGTTCCATCACTATCCTTGAGTTCTGCAGCAGGCTTTGTTTCTTATTCAGAGAAAACTCGTCCTCAGGCTTTCATTGTGCCCCAGAGCACTCTTACCTTATTCACTGCCATCTTGGATGTCTTCATTCAGTCGCTCATCCCCTGAGGACATCTGTACATTGCTGGGACACCTTCTTGAGTTTTGCATTGTGTCCCAGAGCCACCTTTTGTCTTTCACTCTCAGCACCCTTCTCCCATCATCATGCCTCCTGAGGCCATCCTTGTGCCCCACAGTCCTCTTTTGGCTCTGTTGTGCACCTTGCACCCTTCTCCCTCCCTGAGAACCTTTCCTGATGCCATCTTTCATCTCCAGAATGCTCGTGTTCTCTATGCTAGCTAGGATACTTCTGTTCATTCCCTGGTCCCCTGAGGACATCTGTAGTCTGTTCAAATCCTCTCTGGACCGCTTCATCATGTCCTCAAGCCTTCTTTTGTCCGTCCCTTTCAGAAGCCCTCTGCTACTGTCACAATGTCTCCCAAGGTCCTAGATGTCCTCTGCAGTACACTTTTAGATCTGTAAGCCCCCTTTAGACTAATTTTGTTGCAATTGCACCTCTCCCAAGATCTCTGTTCCCAAAAAAGAGCATTCTTTTTCTTCTCTATGCCACCTAGGATGCCTGCCAGACTTTCCTTGTGCCACACAGCATTTTGGTAGCGCTTCCCTTTCAATCTCTCTCTCTTACCTAACTGTGCCTTTCATGACCCCTCTGCTCCCAGTCATTGTGCCTCCTGAGACCTTCTTTGTGTACTACAGCCCTATTTTAGCTCTGTAGCAGACTTTGATCCTCTCTTGTTCCCTCAGAGACCCATCCTCGGCTTTCTTTGCACTTCAGAGTGCTCTTATCATCCTCTCTGCCATCTAGGGTGCCTCTATTTGGTCCGCAGCCTCTTGAGGACATCTGTATTCTGTTCACATCCCCTCCAGACTTCCTCCTTGTGTCTCTGAGCCTTCTTTGGTGTGTTTGGCCCAATTGGGGCCCTTCTAATGGTGTCACAATGCCTATTGATGCCTTTGAGGTTGCCCTTAGCACACTTTTGGCTCTGTAGGACACCTCACATCCCTCTCATTTACATAATTTTTGTTAACTATATTGTTACTGCATTTAATGAACTACTTACATAGCTTAGTAGGACATCTATATTTCTCTATCTATGCCCCAGAAAAGCTAAATGGAATTACCTACCCAGTTACATTGCGGATGCAATAGATGTAGCTGTAGTACAAGAGCCGGTATCATCATTTCCAGTAAGGGTCACTTTCTCTGTTCAGTGCTTTGCACAGTGCAAAATGAAGGCAGAGGAGAAAGCACACAGCTGCTCTTGTGCCTGCCGTCATGCCTTATGGTGGTTTGTCCCTCCCCTTTCCCAGGTGATTCAGGGAAGGGTGGTGGGCAGGGGCCTGGGGTATATGAGCCATAGCCTCTCCTCAGGGAGCTCATTGTGCTCCTGGGCTCTGTTGGTATCAGTGCTCTGCTGTTCCTTCACTTCTTTGCAGCTGTTGAGCTGGCTCAGCCCTTTGGGAAGAGATGTTCTGACATTTATGGAAGCAGAGGTGTCTGTCTAAGGTAAGAGCTTCAGGACCAGTCAAGGTTCAGCAGCATGTGTAGTAGAAAGTAACACTTGTATGCAGGTTGGGGTTTTGGTTTTTTTTTTTTTTTTTGGTCAGTAATTTTGTTTTGAGTGTTCGGGGGTAGAAAGATGGTTTAGTAGTATGCATTGTTTAGTTTTGTTTTTTTTTTTTAAATTCTTCATGCATTGTGTTTTCCTGGAATTCCTGACTTTATTGAAACCAGAACCTTGTTTATTTCACCAGTTCTGCTGTACACTGTGTAAGTTGCTGATATTATCTCTCTTAATAGGACCGATGGTGACATCATTTAGCAGGGGTTAGGGTGAGCGTCTTGTATGCATCTGTATATGGAGTTTTAGTATTTCTCAAGAAAGCAGCAGGGCCATGAGGTGCAGTGTCTTTCAGGGTCTGGGATGCCTCGTCGCCTTTCCTCATTGCCCACAGAATGCCATGTTGTCCCTAGAATCTTTGCAGCTTGTGGCAGGGCCCTAGATTACAAGCCTTGGGACTTGACTTTATTTTGTGGGCACGTAGCAGAGCTCAGGGTCTCTGTGAAACTGTAGGTTAGGAGGTGCCTCCAGAATTTGGGATGTGGCTCAGAAGAGCGGCTCCTGAGGAGTAGCCACTGAAGGGGGTTCAGGGGTGCAAATCGAGGGCAGGAGGTGTCAGGAAGCAGTGGGGTTCCTTTCCTGACAGTTGAGGAGAAGAAAAGGGGTTTCTAAAGTTTTGGGACTGCTGGGGAAAGGGAGGAGGGTTCACCAGCCCTTCTCAGATGAGTTTTGCAGTTGGATTTGGATGTCATAGAATCATAGAATGGTTTGGGTTGGAAGGGACCATAAAGATCCTCTAGTTCCAACCCCCCTGCAATGGGTAGGGACACCTTCTGCTAGACCAGGTTGTTCAAAGCCCTGTCCAACCTGGTCTTGAATGCTTCCAGGGAGGGGGCATCTGCAAATTCTCTGGGCAACCCATTCCAGTGTCTCACCATCCTCATAGTGAGGAACTTCTTCCTTACACCTGAAGTAAATCTGTCCTCTTTCAGATGGAAGCCATTACCACCTTGTCCTATTGTCCTATTGCTATACATCCTTGTAAAAGGTCCCTCTGCACGTTTCTTAAAGGCCCCCTTTAGGTACTGTAAGGCTGCTGTAAGGTCTCCTGTGAAGCTGTATGCCAATAAGTGGTCCGAAAAGGTGAGGCAGTTGTTGGCTGGGTCGGTGTTGAATAGCGAAGTATTAAGTGGCTGCTTGGTTAAGCATTTACCTTTTGTTTTGCAGGTGCTGTGCAGGCCACCTTTGGAATTGGATGAGCATTTGAGGTGAGCTGTGGAGTAGCGAGGAGGAGCGTGGGGCCCGTGACTTTTCATGGGTGCCATGCTAATTTGGTGTCTCTTCGTATGTTAGGTACCATGAGCGATGGCAGCCGCAGGGTCTGACTCTGGAATGAGCAGGTAAGTGTAACATGGTGGCGCTTGTGAGGAGGGGGGAGTTGGGGAAGTAGTTGGCATTGGCCAGTGGGATGCTTACTCCCTTTTCTGATTTGTTTGTTTGTTTGTTTGTTTTTTTGGGTTTGGGTTTTTTTTTTTTTCCCTTGCAGATGTTGAAGAGCAATGTGTCCCCTTGAGGAACATCCCAGTCAGCCCGTGTGGTTTTTCTGGATGATGGATTCAGACCCTCGGCCCTCTGAAAGCTAAGTTGAGGGACCCGGGCTGGGGAGAGGCTGGGAGGAAGGGACACAGCTGGGAATTGCCGGGAGGGGTTTTAAAGTTAGCGCAGGAGAGAGGGCTGCCCCAAAGCAGTCCTGTTTGGGCAGATGAAGGGAGCGAGTTGCTTTTGAGCCCGAGACCAGCGTGTGCCGGGCAGGGCAGTTCCAGCCCGTGTCCGCGGTGGCGTGTAGTTTGTGTAGTCTGTCTTGTGCTCTTAGACCTTCCTCGGGTCTCGATGTCCTCGTTGCGCTTTGCGCTGGAGGAGCATGGCATGTGCTTCGGGTGCCGTCCCTAGGGTCTCGAATGCTCTTACTCATCGGCCCGGTGCCAATCGGGTGCTTCTTTTCTTGCGCTCGGAGCTCTAAAGCATGGATCGGTCTCGGTGGGTTCCGGTTGGTCCTCTTTTGGCAGCGTTCTTCTGGGCTGCGTTGGCAGCTCTGCTCTCTAGCCGTCCGTTTTCTCGGACTGGGACTTCTTCCCCGCATCCTGACATCCTTAGGTCTCGACGCCAGGCTTCTGGTGCATCTGTCGTCTGGGTTTTGACAGTGCCATCTTGTAACGGGCTGTTCCGTTCGACTCCTCTGGGTCTGCCGTAGAGCCTCCTGGCCTCGCAGTTGTGGCCCCGTAGGTCGTCTTGCCTGACGGCGCCTCCCGTCCGGGAGTCATTCTTCTTGCCGAGAGTTTTCTCTCTCTTTGAATCACCTTGTTGGTAGCGTTCCACGTGGCGACGTTCTGTGCACAGGTGTGTTTGGCTTGGAGCTGCTCTGCCCGGGGATGTAGAGTCAGGGGTAGGTGGAACAGCGATAAGAGTCTACGGGTCAAACGTTGATGTGCCTAGACCGTTTAGGCAAGGGTTGTACAGTCATCTCGGCTCGAGTAGCCATCGGCGGGCTGTGTGGACAGCCATGCCGATAGTGTTTCACGGAGACGATTGGAGCTGTGCGGCAGGGGCTGTTGAGGGGCAGTGAAGTGGATTTGACTCTCTAAGGTGTTAAGTCTTGTATGTGATGGGCTTAAAGTTTGGCCCTTTTTTTTTTTTTTTTTTTTTCATGGCAGGCTGTAGCTGGACTCCAGATGGTCTTTGTAGATGGAATCAAGACCTCTGGAATTGTTAAGCTTTTGCTCTGCATCTCGGTGATTCATTCAATATGTCTTTTTTCAGATGCAGAGGGACAAGGTGCATGCCACAGAGCGACGGAGGAGGGGAGCGGAGCAGCATAAGAAGGTGGGTCTGTGAGTGGAATCAGAGGGAAGATGCGGCCGGTGGCTCTATGACTAGCTGATAGGGTTCTTTTTTATTTTGAAGGTGTGAAGCAAGGAGTGAAGCGGGCCATCGGTACCGGAGGTGTCTCGGCAAGGTGAGCCATGATTACTGGGTTAAAGGAACTGTTCCTTTGGAGGTGTTGTATTGTTGGCAAAGTTGGAAGCATCCCTTGTCGTTTGTTTTTTGCAGGCGGTACGCATGCTTTGATGTGGCAAGCTCTTGATGACAGAGTGGGGTGGTCGAGCGGCCAAGGTAAAGGAGAGGGAGTTGGGAATCGGTCTGGGCAGGCTGAGGTTTCGGGCGGCCTCTCAGCATGCGTCTTCTGCTTTGGTTTTTGCAGGTGGCGCACGCAGCCTCAGAGGGGCGAATTCGCAGGCCGATGAGCAGTCTGAGAAGGTGAGGTGGTTGTGGGCTGTGCCGGTGTTGAATATCGAAGTATTAGGTGGTTGCTTGGTTAAGCGTTTACCTTCTGTTTTGCAGGCGCTGTGCGGGCCACCTTTGGAATGGGATGAGCATTTGAGGTGAGCTGTGGATTAGGGAGGAGTAGAATGGGGCAGGTGACTTCTCATGACTGCTATGCTAATTTTGTGTGTCCTGCTGTCTTAGGTACCATGAGTGATGATGGCCGCGGGGTCTGACTCTGGAATGAGCAGTAAGCATAACGCTGTGGTGTCTGTGATTAAGTGGGGGGGGGTGGGAAAGTAGTTGGTGTTGGCTGATGGGTTACTTACTGCCTCTTCTGATTTTGTCGCCTTTTTTTTTTGTCTTCGCTGCAGATGATGAAGAGGAACCTGGCGACTGCCGGATCGTCCCAGTTAGCCCGTGTGATTTTTGCAGAGGATGGATTCGTACCCTTGGCCCTCTGAAAGCTAAGTTGAGGGACCCGGGCTGGGGAGAGGCTGGGAGGGAGGGACACAGCCGGGAATTGCAGGGAGGGGTTTTAAAGTTAGAGTAGGAGGGCAGGGCTGTCCAGGAGCAGTCCTGGTTGGGCAGATGAAGGGAGCGGGTTGCTTTTCAGCATGAGACCAGCGTGTGCCGGGCAGGGCAGTTCCAGCCTGTGTCTGTGGTGGTGTGTAGTTTGTGTAGTCTGTCTTGTGTGCCTTCGATCTTCCTCGGGTCTCAATGCCATCATCAGTCTTTGCGCTCAGGGAGCGTGGCATGCGCTTCGGGCACCGTCCCTAGGGTCTCGAATGCCCTTACTCATCGGCACTGTGCCAGTCGGGTGCTCCTTTTCTTGCGCTCGGAGCTCTAAAGCGTGGATTGGTGCTGGAAGGTTTCCGCTGGTTCTCTTTTGCGGCGCTCTTCCGGGCTGCTTTGGCAGCTCTGCTCTCTAGCCATGTGTTGTCTTGGACTGGGACTTCTTCCCTGCACCTTGATGTTCCTAGGTCTTGATGACAGGCTTCTTACACATCCATCATCTTGGTTTTGACAGTACCATCTTGTAACGGGCCCTTACTTTTGCCTCTTCTTCTTTGGGGCTGTCGTAGAGCCTCCTCGCTTTGTGGTTTTGGGCGCTGTAGGTCAATTTGCCGGATGGCGCCTCCCGTCCGGGGGTCGTCATTCTTCTTGCTGAGAGTTTTCTCTTTTTGAATTGCCTTGTTGGTAGTGTTCCGTGTTGTGTGCGTTTGTGCACGGGTGTGTTTGGCTTGGAGCTGCTCTGCCCGGGGCTGTAGAGTCAGGGGTAGGTGGAACAGCGATAAGACTCTATGGGTGAAATCTTGATATGTCTAGATTGTCAGCATTGAGGGTTAAATGATTTTTGAGTCATTGCATGTCAGTAGGGGAGTGGATTGCAAGTGGATTGTGAGGTAGAATATAGTAAGGCAGTAAGTGGGCATGGGTGTTAATATTTGTTTATGTGGATACTTTGTGGTAAGCTTCTAGAAATGGTTAAGGCATTGAGGTTTTTGTTTTTGGAATAGGTGCGAAGCAGGAGTTTGGAGCTGTGGAGGATTTTTTTTATGCCGAGGGTGAAGTTTGTATTCAAGAGTTTTGTGTGTTGGTTTTGCAGGTGATCACGGGGCACGAGGCGTTTGAAGGAACCTTGCGTTTAGGCGATGTGGCTGCTACGGAGGTTGGACTGTGACATGCGCCACTATGAAAGCTAAGTATCTGGTTGAAAATCTATGTATGGTGCAGATGGTGCGTGTTGAAGCGTTGCTGTAACGGAAGGGCAGTTTGTGGGGAGCTTGGAAGGAGGTTGGGCTGGGGCCAGGGTTTTTGCAGGCAGGGTGCTTTTTGAGGCCCTGGGTGCTGCGGGTAAGGGGCGATGGCCCCTTGACACCCTTTGGCGGCGGGATGGGTTAGTTGAGAGTGAGGGCTAGTGTGCGTGTGATCTGAATGAGTGGTGTGTTGTGAATGTGCGTAACGTTGTAGGGTTATGTGGTTTAGCTTTTTAGTGGTCTCTTGCAGGGTGGAGGTAGAGATGTTTGTTAGGCAATTAGGAAAAAATAAAATACAATTAGAATAAAAAATCTCCAGCCAGGTGATTTCTTTTTTTTCCCCAGCTGCGTTTTTTTTCTCCCGGTCCTGGCCACTCTGTGAGGAGATGTTCATGGCCAATGTTCCGACAGGGGTCAGGCTTGGGCCGGGATTTTGGCAGGGAGGGTGATTTTTGAGACCCCTGGTGCAGCAGGCACAGGGCAATGGCCCCTTGAGGGTGGCAGGCAGTTGGATGGATGAGTTGAGAACGAGGGTTGGTGTGCATGCAATGTCAATGAGTAGTGTGTTGTGAATGTGTGTAACCTTGTAGGGTTATGTGTTTTGACTTTTTAATGTTTTTTTCCTTTCTGGTTGTACAGGTGAGATGTTTTCCAGGGAATTGGAATTGAAAAAAAATACCATTAGAATAAAAAAACCCTAGCAGGGAGATTTCCTCCCCCCCCCAAGCCGGGTTGTTTTGTTGGTTGGTGTTTTGTTTTTTTTTTTTCCCAGTCCCGGCTGCTCTGTGAGGCTATGTTCATCGCCAGTGTTCAGAAGGGGGTCAGGCTCGGGCCGGGGTTTTGGCAGGCAGGGGGATTTTTTTCAAGGCTCCTGGGAACGACGCTCCCATGGAGCGCTCCCCTGGAATGTGGTAATTGCCACTTAGCGCAGGGAATTAAATTGGTCAGCGGATGGTCTTTGGAAGACAGTTGAGGATTTTGCGGGCGAAGGGTGGGGGGAGTTGGACTAGATGGCCAGCATGGAGTAGGCCAGGGTTGTGAAGTGCGTGAGTGTAACTGTATTTTTCCTTGGTGTGTTTGTAAAATATTTGGGTGCTCTTTGTAGTTTGTGATGTAATGATACTTTTCAGTTTTTGTTTTTGTGCCGAGGTGTGGAAGTGGACAGTCTGTCAAGATGAGCGGAGCTCACTCGTTTTCTGCCCGGGAACGGGGATCGTGGAGGTAATGTCACCTCAGGGAGTAAAACTTCTGGATGTGCAGCAACAGACATAATCGCAGTGAGGAATGTGGAAAAGACTGATGCGTTGGAACATGGTCTGTAAACTCAGAACATGGTCTGTAAACTTTG